GGGAGAGGGAGAGAGAGACAACGGTGAGAAAGCTACGCGCGATGATGGATAGAATGCGACGTAAATCTTATTTGCTTCTATCTACGTTCATACCGTATAGCGCCTTCCTGCCAATATTGTCCGCTTTCGTATGCAACTTTTAACAGCGGGGATGTGTCGCTGTCATGCAGGCTTTCGTTTCACCCCCGTATGCGCGCACTCGCGTATGCAATGCCGCACAAATCCGCGAAGAGGCGACACGTACGGACTTATAAGTGATATAAGCGCAACTTCTCCGAGTGCCTGCAAATGTCGAAATAGTCTAACGCGCGCATTCAGGCAACTCATTTTCGCCGTCGTATTCCGCTACGTTAATGGAAAATTGTCAAAAGTCATTTTTCATAAAAAGAAGAAAATCTAAATACAGAACATATTTCAGAACCTTCGACCTTAATTTTAACGACAGAGTTTCCGACATGTTTACAGTCGATTTTTCCTGAGAAAAAATCTCGTTAGAGAAAAAAACTGTTGCGCATTTTTATACTGAAATATCTGTTTAATTAAATTTAATAAACTTTGATATTAAACATCATTTTAAATAAGATTCATATTATTAAATTATTAGAAAATTGGCCTGAATTCAAGCGGATAATAGAATTTTCTTGTACTTATCTTTTCAAGTCGCCAGAAACCTTGCATTTTCAATTTATAGCTCGAGAATTCACTGACGCTTCAATATTTTAAGTTAATGAAAAATCGACCCCAAGTTGATTACCAACTCTATCATTAGAATTAGGGTCAGTGGTTTTAGCACTCTATCTGTGTGTACGTGTGCAGGTGTGCATGCGCATAGTATATTGATGGAATAGATGCTTTGATTGATGATCCGCGATTGGTGACAGGAATATTGTTAGTACACTTTCTTCGCAAAATTGAAATTAAATTATTCTTGTTATACATAGTTGTCAATAAAATTGCGGATGTTTACACGAATGTGTATTTTGATTCCCCAAACAGAAAAATAAAATTATAAATTGGAAAAATGTTTTATACGTGAATAAATAAAATATTGTAAAAAATATTAAGCTTTTCGTAATTTAAACAATTTTCAATTACTATTTTCAATAGAGAAATAATATACATTTTATGTTCCAACAATTATCAAGAAAAACGCATGTCATAAATGTCGAAGATCAAGCTTGAAAGACTTTTATATAAAACTGCATTCTACAATTTCGACTTATTTTATCAAGAAAAGCCATTATCTTCCAAAATTATACCACGACTATCGGTCAGTGGATGCCTTATCCCTTAAATGGATACAACAGAACTCAATATTGTTATATATTTATCATGACTGCAGAATAAAGACTCCACTTTTATTCGATATCGCGAGAAATAAGAGAATGTGGATCTCGCTTCTATATCGTTTGCTTCTCAACTCTGAATCGATTTTTGCGCCGATCTCGAGCGGAGCAAGTCAAGGAGGCCGGTCGAGTGATATTCGCTGACGAGCTGCCGAGGGATAACGTCGCCGGTCATACAGAAGCGTTAAGAGGCCATCCTCTCAGGAGGCTCGTTTCTCGCGTCGTAAATCATGACGCGAAAGTCTCGTCGACTCTTTGACGCGTTTTATAACGCCTTAAAAGTAACCATTAATTATCGCCGGCCGCACGACCGAATGCATTTCGTGGAATACGTCTCTATATATGTCATGTATGTGTGTGTAT